AGCTTGAAAAAAAACAACATATGATGTTTTCTTTCTCGTATTAGGCTGAATCAATACGCCCCCAATTAGATCCATGTGACCTTCAACGTACATCAAAACAAGTTGTTTGTCATCGACAAGAACCAGAAATTCGTATAGATTATCTTGATAGTTTTGATGAAGATGATCATGATAATAATATTGAAGAAGATGCAGTTATATCAGCACAATCACGAGAACAAATTAACTGTATACGTGGTTTACGACGACATACAATTGGTCGACCTGAATTACTTACACATGGTGGACCTATTCCAACACTTGCTTCAAAAGTACGTTTTGCTCATCAATCATCACCTTTTGAACCATCACTTTTATCAAATCGACTTACAAATCTTCAACAACAGCAAGACTATGGAACTAATCAATTACCTAATAATGATAATGAATGTGGTGTATTATCATCATCATCACCGATTTATTATCAACGAGATCCACATTCAACAAGTTATAATGGTCTATCTGTACAGTCTCCTGTGATAAATACTACATTGGATGTACATAATCATCAACAACAAGATAATCATTGGCTTTCACCACCTGTTTCTCATAATTTCCGTATGTTATTTTAAAAGAATAACATAATCTTAATTGATTTTCTATAGATATGAATCGACGAGCCAGTGATAGTGGTGCTCATCTTCTTCTATTTCAATTACAAACTGGTGCAACCGGTTCAAATACATTGGGTGTTGTACATCCACCACAGATACAATCACCTTTATCTAATGTAAAAACAAAAATTTCAAATAATTTACAATATATTATTTAATAATTTTCTAGCGATCATCTCGAGGAAGTATAACACGTGGTGCACCAATAACACCGCCAACATTTTCCATTACTCCACATGAAACTGAAGAAGACGAAGAAGATAAAGAGCAACAAAATCATAATGATAATGATGACGATACTGAAGCTCTTGCAAGGTTTGTTTAATCAAAATCTCAATAACAACAAAAAAGAAGTAAATATTTTTCTTGCTTTCAGATATCTCAATCGTGGTAAACGTCATACAGTTTGTGAACAAGGTTTAGTAGTTAATTGTAAAGCTCGACGTGCTACTCGTGAAGCAACTAAAGAACGTGGTTTATCATCCCGTCGTGCAAGTGATACAAGTTTCCATCCTATAAATGGTACAACACGAGCACATCTTGAACGTTTATATAGTAATGCTGTTAATTTAAAAACAAGTGATGATGATTTAGCAGAATCAAGTTTACAAGAATTACAAAAACTTCAAAAACAAGTACAAAAAGTATGTTTGATAAATTACTTTAAAAAAAAAATGCATATTCTTATTTAATTACATTTTAGTATCCAACAAATAATACTGATTCATCGCCAATAACTCGACGAGCAACTAGTAAAAAAAAAAAAGAAATAAAATGAAATTTTTTAATTTAAAATATTCTTTTTGTTTTTTATTTTCAGCTGTTCCATCACCAACAAATTCTGTTGGTCTTCATATGATTCAAGAAGAACATCAACAAAATCCATTATTATTATCATCAAATTATCAATATTCAAATCAAAATAAATCTTCATCATCATCATCAGAAGCATTAGCTAGTATTGATGATGACGATAATGAGATGGATTGTGATGTTCATGATAATCATCATCATCATCATCATCATCCTCAACAACAATTTTTTTGTCCATCTCATTATCGTCCACCACCAACAGCATCATTATTTCATTATAATAACAATCCTTTACTTGCTCAACATTTAGCTATCCCAACGACTACTGCTTCTTATATGCCCTGATCTGATTAATTTCTTTTGTGTTTATATTTGTATATATCCATCTATCTATCTATCTATCTATCTATCTAAAAGTATTAAAATTTTTTCTTTTCTCTTTTTCTTGCCGGTGAACTTCTTTTGATAGTGAATTCTCTTTCTTTTCTATTTTAGCTGTAGCAAATGAAAAGAAAATATTTTGTAGATAATTCTCTTTCTTATGGTGAAGATTATCATTCACATAAATCTTTTAAAGAAAAAACACATTATTTTCTTTGTCATGTACAGTCGTTTCTTATTGTTTTGTTCTTGTCAATTTCAATTTCAATGTTAGTCTGCGTAAGCAGTTAAAAAAAAACATGTTTATACGTATACGTTTATATAACTGATCTTTTCTTTTTTTGTTTTTTGTTTTTATTTCGTTTCTTTCTCTTGTTTTCACTTATTATTGTCTTTTTATTCTTGCGTTTTTTTTTTCTGTTTCGATTAGTCCATTCATGTGCTTTGTTGACTGTACAGAAAAAAAAACGTTTTTTTTTTTTTCTTGTGGTTCTGAAAAAAAGAACAAAATAGAGACTAAATGAAAGGGAAGAAAAATAGCGCAAATGTTTTACTTGGAATAAACTCATCAATTCTGATTCATCTCTTTCTTTTTCCTTTATATACTTTTATGTCATTCTTTATGTGCAACAAAACATCTTATTTATTTATAATCACAACGAATGAGTGACACATTATTTTATCTAAAAAAAAATTTTATCTTATAAACATTTTTCTTCCAGATTCGTCTATAAAATATGAGGACAATCATTGAGGCTGATATATTTCCTGCGTGTCCATCATTTGGTGCTATTAATCAATCAAAGTTCATGACAACAACAATAACAAGAAATAGATCACCTCATCGTAGCCGATCAAATAGTAATAGTAGTGAACCAGGAAGTGTTTTGAGTGATAATATTTCTATACCTTCATCTCCATCTTCAGTATCATTATTATTGCCAACAAATACAAGGTAGTTTATAATATATATAGATATACGAATATTATAATTCTTTTAATAAAAGAATTTTTTGTTTTGTTTTTCATTCAGTTCTGCTGAGATTTCCGATCAAAATTTCTTAGATAAAGAAGACGATGATACATATTACTTGAATGAATTTGTTTACCCAACTGATACTGAAGATGAATCATCATATTGCTATGATAACAATAATAATGATGAATTATATATTGAAAATCGTGTTACTAGAAAACAATTAAATTTTATTGAAAACTTACAAGATAAACGTTATCAACGATCGAAACGTTCAAATAAAAAAATGAATGCACAACGTCAGATTAAAACTAAACATGCAAAATCAATTAAAATAAAATCCCATAATAAACATTTGTATATACATCATCGTTTAGCTAAAAAAGTTATACTTGATGAACCAAGTTATCATTGTATACCATCATCAGAACCTGTTCCATTATATTCTTTTGAAGCATTTCGTTCTATTATATATCAACATCGTCATCTAGATAATTCATCATATGGATATTCTTCAACATTATCAAATAAAAATCGTCAATTAAAATCTCGTCATAATATATATCTTGATGAATCTCAAACAATTTTAAATACATATCAATATCGTGAATATACATTAAATGAATATAATATTCCTAATGAACCTTCATTTGATGATACTATGATTGATTTTCTTATTGACATGCAAAATCGTGATCTGTAATTATTTAAATATGTTTTTTTTTGTTCTTTTTTTATTTATTTATTTATTAATATTTTTAATTTAGTTCACCAGAAGATTATGAAATGTTATTAAGACTTGATGAACGTGTACAACGTAAAACAATTAATACAAATGTATTAGATACATTAGAAACAATTGATGTCAATGATAAACATTTAGATGATCAATGTACAATATGTATGGAAAAATATCAAGATGGACAACAACTTAAATTATTACCATGTACACATATATTTCATTTAAATTGTATTGAAACATATTTAAAAGAATTTTCAATTCAATGTCCATTAGATAATTTACCATTAGTATAACTGATAAAAGAACAAAAAAAATTTTTGCTTTTTTTTTTTTTTTTCTTTTCTTCATTTGGCTAATGCTTTCTTTGGATTATTCATTAGTTATTATATCTATTTATTATTATTTTTTTTTTCGTCGTAATTTTTCTATTAATACTGTAGATATGTATTTGCTCCTTCTTTTTTTTTGTGATACTATTTATTTTGGATACTGTATAATACATTTTTTTTTCCTTCTTATAGAGAATATACAAGAATTCGGTGCAAAGATAATATAATATTTGAGGTTGATATAATCGAAATAAAAGGATACAAGTCATTGAGTATAGAAATATGACTTCTAAATGTACTTTTAAATTCATTTTAACTAATCGTTTGAGATATATTTGTAATATGTTCGTGTTTGATATATATATATTTTAAAACGTGTCGTGACTTCCATTAATGAAAGACATATGTTTTCTCTTTTTACTTAGTTCCAAAAGTAGACATGAGTAAATAGATTTTTGGTCCTAATTCTGCCTGGATCGAAAATAAAAATAACTTCTCTTACTCATGTCTGATTGAATATTCAATAAGGAGAATATTTCTAATAACATATTGCAAACGTATAGACAGTAAAAAAAAAACGAAGATCGAATCGGTTCAATTTGCACTTTTAAAAACTAGATCGATTTCATTTGAAAAATACGCTAATTGATCCGATATAAACGTGATATTTTAATAGATTTGTTAACTTGTCTATCATTTTTTATTCGATTCAGTTAGAAAGCAACAAAAAAATATACTAACCGATTCTATCTCTAATAGAAAATAATAATTTTATGCTCTATGCTAATAAAGTTTTTGCTACTAGTATCGATTATTTTTTTTTTTTTGATTAAAATCAATAAATATTGATCTTCCTTTTACGTAACCAAAATACAAAAAGTCATAGTATATCTTACTAAGTTCTGTGATAAGAAAATCTTCAGTACAATGACCTTTTCGAGATAAGATTTTTACGATCATTAAGTGGCGTCCTCTTATGAAAATGGTAGAGACTGGAGAAAAGATTATTCAAATTAAAACGACGATTTTTTCGATTTTATTCATTCATTGTTATTTTGAATCAATCTCGTTGTTTACAATATTTATTCTAATTAATTGTATTTAAAATGTCAGATCTTGCTGTAAGTATTTCAGAAAAACAAAAAACGAACATCTTTATGTTTGTTCTATTAAAACCATTAATGAATTATTTTAGGAAACATTTCAAAATGATATTTCACAAATATTTAATGAACGTGGTCTACTTCGAACTGAATTAATTGCTAAAGAAAAATTACTTACTGATGCTATATGTAATTTATTTTGTTAATTAATATCTTTTTTTATGTTCTATATTTTAGTACAAAAAAATGCACTTAATCAAAGTTTAAAACAACTTCGTAATGAAAGAGATGAATTATTTGTTAATAATCAAAAATTAAGACAAGAAAAACTTGCTGCTGAAGTTTGTTTCATTTTTCTTTTTTTTTCTTATTTTTTTTTTATTTTCTAGGCAGAAAAAAGTGCAAGTACAATACATGTAACTATACTTAAAGAAGAAAAAAATTTATTAGAAAAAAAATTATATCAATTAACACAACATTATGAAGAATCACGTTTACAAATCGATGAATTAAATCGACAAAATTTAATATTTCAAAATCAAAAACAAAATCAATATATAATACCTATTCAACAAACTAATGATCATCATCATGAAATTGATGATGTATAATCAAAATTTTATTTTTTTTCAAATATCAATTTTTCTTTTTTTTTAGTTGAAAAAACGTATTATAGAACTTGAAGAATCACGAGAAAATCTAATAGAAAGACATAAACATGAATTACAATTATCAAAAGTATGTTTAATTGAAAGAAAAAAAAAGAAAGTTCTTCAATAATAAATAAAATATTTAGAATGAATCAAATAAAAAAGATGAAGAAATAAATAGTCTTCAACAACTTATTTCTCAATATGAACGAAAAATTGAAATTAATGATAAAAGTAAAATAGAATAATAAATTTAATATATATTTTTTTATTATTATTGTTATATTAATTTAGATAAAAAAGAACTTGAACAAAGAATTCAAGATGTTACACAAACATGTCGATCTCAAATACCTGATAAATGTAAATTTTTTTTTGTTTAATGAAAGAAAGTATAGAAGAAAAAAAAATATATCGAAACTTTTGTATTCTTAAGGAAAATAAATTGTTTTTCAGAATTAAACTTAACAATTATTTCATTGAATATTAATTGAAAATGTTTGATATTTTTCTTGTCTAGAGTATCAAATGTTTTGATTTTGTAATCGAAAAAAAAAACTTGAGTTTAATACAAACTTTTTCTTTTTAACAGAAAGAAAATAAATCTATTAGTGCAATTCCTACGGGATTAAAATGTGTAAAAACGACTCAACTGCTATATTACTAATTACTGACTGCTTGTTTTATTCTGTCTATTTTGAGACACAGATTTCTTCATCATATTTTTATTGAACCCTACAGATATACAATAAGAAAGTAGGTCATATATTATATAAGAAAACGTTTTTCATATATATATAGACCGTGTCTCATAAAAATCAGCAACAGTATAACTCTTTATAGTGGATATCCTACGAACTCCTAAAAAAATGTACACCAGTGAAACTTTTCGAAAGTATTCACTGTGAGAGATTTTACTGTATGTTCTTGTCTTCAAGTAACATAAATCTGTGCTATAGTCCATGAAAAAAAAATGATGATATTTTCTAATTCTTAAGTACAAATTAACTGCGAATATTCGAAATACTTCAATATTCAATTATTAAAACGAACTAAATACAAGTGTTCTGTAATATGTAGGATGTTTAAAAAGTGACATATCAAAGAATATCTTCATTCTGCTTTGACTAAATTAACTGATATCAGAGGAAAGCAACGAAGTCAGTGTTCTACAAATTTCGGAATTCTAATAGATGATGTTTTCGAATTAGTATTGGATTTCTTAATTAAATAGGTCGATCAAAAGTTTTGAATCGTTTGCTATCTTGTCTTATAAATATTTCTGTAGATGAAATATAAAGCTAATTTTTCTCATAAGAATAAAAACTTGAATCTTGTATTTATCATCTTGAAAAAGATTTATTAAAATCACCATAAAGATATTCAAATTCTTTATATAAAACACAATTATTTGTTTTGTCTTTTTAGTAACACTTACTGATGATGAATTACGTATAATTGAAACTGATCCTAATAGTGCATCAATTCTTGCTATTTATCGTTCATCAAAAAGTCTATTTGATGTAAATTCTTTTTTTGTTTGTTTTTTTTTGTTATTCAATTTCTTTTTCGTACAGATTCTTGTTGATTATGCACTCTTACAAAAACAAAATGAAACTTTAACAAATCTTAAAGAAAAAGTTGATTCTCAACGACGTTATAATGAAAATGTATACATATACATTTATATTTTTTAATTATAATAAAAAAAAAATATTTTGTTTTTGCTCTTATATATATATAGATTTTACATCAAACTCAATCAGAAATACAACAATTAAAAATTCAAAATGAACGTTTACAATTTTTAGCTGATAGTCGTCAAACAGAATATGAACAAGCTATACGTGCTAAACAAACATTATTTAAAGAAAAACTTGATTTAGATAGACAATTACAACAAAAAATTCGTGAATATGATGATTGTTTAGATGATCGTAATAATATGCGTGCACAAATATTTCATCTATTTGAAAATGGTAATATTAAAGGTCATTTACATTCATTTTCATCTATGATTGATAATGAAATACTTATAAGACAAGGTGTTATTACATTTAATAGTATTGAAGAACTTTATGAACAGTATATGAAAACATTAGCTGATATACGTGAAACAGATAGATTTATTCTTGAATTAGAAGAAACACATTCAAAAGAAATAAATGAAATAACACAACGTGAATGTTTATTAAAAGAAAATATTGAACAACTTCGTTTAAAATTTGATCAAACACGAACAGATATTAATATACAAACACTTGCTAAACAAGTCCTTGATCGTGAACAAAATCAAAATTTACCAAAAGTTATATTAACAACAACTAATATACAAACAGATATGAATTTAAATGATTTAAAACATATTGAAAATAATATTAAATATTTACAAAGAATTTCTAATGAAAAAGATCTTGAAATTAATAGAATTAATGATAATATGACGTAAGAAACATTCTCATCGTTTTCTTTTTCTTAAATCGAAAAATTTAACAAAACAGTAGAATATTTTGAAATCTATACTAAAAAAAGAAAAACCCATCTACGAAGAAAGGTTTTAGTTGTTCAATCGTGTTTGATAAGAGATTGCGCGCATTGTATAGAACAAAAAAAATGAGCTATGAATATTCTGAAAAGAGTACGTGCTCTAAGCTTACTGCTAGAGTGCTGTTGCACTTTTACGCAACTTTTTTAGATGAATATCATGGTAATAGAAAAATTGCTTTTTTGAATTTTGATTTGAAACTTTGCATAGCAACAGATCTTAACAGGAATAGTTTCTTGTGAATGAGGTGTGTTCTGTACAAAGTTTTAAGTTGAAATTAGAAAATCTTTTTATCTGTTATTACAGTATTCATTTAGAATTTATCATAGAAATGCAACAATAAGTTAAGGATTCGAACTCTTTTCAAATTATTCAACACTTATTTGGATCTATATGATATACATAGACTTAACTTAAAAGTGATTATGTAATCACTTGAGAGACTTCTCTCGTTAGTTTTATTTTATAAAAGTAAAATTCAATTTAAGTTTGATAATCTTATTTGAGAGAATTTCCTGATCCATCATATGATAAAACTTGATTAACGTATTTCAAATGATAATATAGTAAGGATTTATTATTTACTCAAATTCTTAATTCGATTCTACAAGGTTTATTATTAGCGACAAATTTGCTTATATACAGACAAAGAATGATCTCCAATTAAATATATCTATATGAAATTTCAATACTCGTGTGGATGTTTCCAATGATATCTTCTCTTATGATAATAGTCATATAAGCATAGAAATAGGATGATTATTTTCTCATCGATGGTCAAAAAAATCTTTATTTAGAACAAGAAAAATGCTATCTAATCGATACATATATTATTTCATAAGGTAGAAAAATGCTCGTTTAAAGCTAACCTATTCATGTTTCATCACAAATTGGACAGTTAACTCTGCTCGGGATTAGAAGATTTCCGATCAAAAATACTGCATCTAATTTCTATCAATTTTTGATGTTTTCCTAGCGGAACTAGCACTTATTTCTTCAATTGAATAGAAGATATAATTTCATATGTTGTCATTTGAAACGTTGACACAAATACTCAAATATCATATAACTCTAGTTAATTGAAGCTCATGTCCTATTGATATTTAAACAATTTTTGGTCGAAATTGTCTAGTTTTTAAAAAAAATCACACAAAATTTATTTAACTAATTCTATATCAATCTCAATTTTTAGACTTATTCAACAAAAATTAGATTATGCACAACGACAAAATGTTAATGATAAACAAAAAGTAATTAATAACAAACAAAAAGAAAATTTATTTTTAAAAAAACTAAATTCTTCTTTCTAGATTGATGATTTTCAACGTATTGTTGATGAAAGTCTTCAACGTACAAATTCTCTTCTTACTAATGTTCAAACATATGAATTAACATGTGAACAATTACGAGAACAAAATCAAACTATTCAACATGAATATGATCAATTATTATCAGTAAAATAAAAAGATTTTCTTTTTTCTTATCTATTCTATCGACTTGTTTTTTTTCTACATCAATTAGACTGTATCGAATTTAAAAACTGAAATTGATAAACTTCAAAATGAAAAACAACAAATGAGTCAATTACAAGAACAAGTTCTTAATCGTATTAAACAAGATATTGAAATAAAAACAAATAATCAGGAAGAAAATCTTCTTAATACTCGATTACAACAATCAGTTGAAGAATTAAATGTAAAATAAAAAAAACAAATAAGAAATGAAATCTTTCAACATTAAAAAATCCTTTTTTTTTGTTTTAGTCAATTATGAAAGATTGTATTAAACAAACTGAATTAACAAATGGAACACCAGCTCATATAGCTAATTTAACAAAACTTGAAATACTTTATCGACAATTACAACAACGTCATCAATATGATCTTGAACAACATTTTGCTATAACTGAATCATTAAGAATCAAAGCAAAAGATGCTCAAAATGATGTACAAAAACTTGAACGTCAATGTGAAGAAATGCGTTCGAAATTTCATGAAGAACAAATCAAATCAGCAGCAAAAGTAAAAATTTATTTTTATTGTTATTCATTGAAAACAAAAATTTTGTTTTTCTTTTGATAAATTTTAAAAGATTGCTGAACTTGAAAGTAAATTACGTAATGCTGATACAACAACAGTTTTAACACGTCTTTTACCATCAGCTACACTTGAAAATCGTCTTAAAGAAGAAGAAGAACGTACACAACAATTAAGAAATTGGACGAATAAATTAACAGAAAAAATTGAAAATATTCAAAAAGTATGTAAAATTTTATTTAGCAACAATAAAAAAAAAATAACTGATTCACTTGTTTTTTTTTTGTATTTGTTAAATTTAGCAAATGGTAACAGAAAAAAAAGAATATGAAGAGAAAATGGAAGAAATGCGTAAAGGTAAAACAAATACGAAAAATTTATTTATTAATTATTTTCTATCTATTTCATTAGCATTTCGAGATAGTCGAAATGAATGTGATGCATTTGAAAAGCGTCTTGAAGCTGCTCATGAAGAACAACAGAAATCTTTGAATGAATTTAAAGAAAAGGTAAATAAAGTTGAAGAATTCATATAACAAACAAAAAATTCGAACATATTTCTTCTTGCGTTTTTCATGCTGAATACATTTGTCTATATTTCTCAAATAATAAGGTGCAAACAATTCGATATAGTATCATTATTTTAAGCTCGCTTCTCGAAAAATCCATCTTGGTATTAGTATATTCAAATCACATTAAATTTTCAGTCCTATACCATAATGTTCGATGAAGATATTCAGTAAGCAAGGTGTAAAACTAGCCTCTTTAGCAAGTCTAAAGTCTCCCTGGAACTTCATACTATACACTTGAACATGTTCGGATACCGAGCATGACCAAGTTAGTAATCGAAAAATTTTAATAGTTGGATATATCTATTTATAGGAAAACGTATTTTAGTAATTTTTCTATATCACACATATTTGAAATTATTCTTGTAATATTTGATAGGAAATTTCATTGTTTCAACTCATTTTTGAAATATCTTTTCGAAGAAAGCAATATGATTTTGAATTGAACATCTTAGTTATTACTTTACTTGAATTGTTCTAATTGTTGACTATCTCGTCTATCTTGAATACATCGCGAGAACTAAAAGTCTGTCACTTTAGTTCCTGGAATCACTCTTAACTAGACATTATTTTTTCTATGTGACTCACATAATCATGATGTACGCTAATAGACCTTAGTCATAATGACTGTCTTGTTTTTGAGATTCTAAACCATTATCATCAGCATCGACTGTTTTACTAAATATATTATCCATGACTTTATAATAAGTAATTATGCAGATATCGTAGAGTTGCAACCAGTCCACAGATTTGACTTTGCTGTTGCTTTGTTTGAATGTGATCTTCAATGTCCCAAATAATTTAGTAAAATAAAATATCGTTAACTATGAAATCTTTTTAGTCCTATGTCCATAGTATCATGATAATTGATGAGCATATGAGTAACGGTTTGAAGACATCAATTATATATATTTCTATTTTCTAGGAAGAAGTATTCGAAATGGAAATATTTAAATTAAAAACTGAATTAGATAGTTCACAAGTAACAAATACATCATTAAAAGAAACAATAACATTTAAAGAAAATGATATTCGAATTTTACATGAACGTATTATTGATGTAAGTTTTATTTTGAAATTTATTTCAAGAATATATTTTTTGTTGTTAAATTTTTTTTTATTAGTACGAAACAAAAATGATCAATTTAGAAAAAGAATTTTTTACATTAAAAGAAAAATATGCTCGACAAACAAAAGAACATAATTTACCAATTAGGTAAAAATGAATTTTTAACAATTATAAAAAGTAACAATTTTAATTATTAGTGAACCTCCATCACCAAGTTTAATACAACATGATTTGGTAACAATATTATTTTATTATCTTTACAAATTGATTTTAATGCTTTTTTTTTTCTCTAGAGTATTGATGATAGTTCATTGGATGCGGCTGTTGAACTTAAGACGCCATCAAAACGTCGTCGAATTGTGTAAATAGAATTATTTTGTTTTAATTAAAGTTCTGAGGAATGTCAAAATTTTGAGCCGGTTTGAAGTTACTCTCATTAAAATCTTTAGTTTTATGAATATTTGATGCAACTCATACTGCTTAGCGGTATGCATTTCTAGTAAAACTAATCTATCAAGAGTACGCATTCAGATCAAACTTCAGTGCTAGGGCTTCGTTCAACAGGATGGCGCGGAAAAATTGGAACCAATTGAATTTAAATCTGCGAAGTATCACTTAGTACTTCTATTTCGCACTCCGCTTTTTATATTGGCACTTGTCACATACAATTAACAGTTCTTTCGAAAGACCACAAGTTCTTCATAGGATCAAAGCAGACTACTCAGCACTACATCGTCCTTTTGGTAGAGTCTGTGGAGTTAGTCTTGAACTTGGAAATCGGGGAATCTGATGAGCTCTAGTCATGTAAGAAATGTGTAAGATGCATTTGTCACCGAATAAAAGAAAATCCAAAAAACGTATTTTTATCTTTAGGCCGGGTATTCAGGCTCTACCTGCTGGACATTAATTTCTACTGAAAATGCATGCCTCTTAGTGCTATGCAGTATATTAATTTTTTTTATTAGAGTTCTAGTTTTTAAGGGAAGTTAATGAGACAAATTTCAATCCGGGCTGAAAGTACTGTATGACGTTCGGCTTGAACTGAAAAGTCACTGAGATTTTGTAATAAACCAAGAGTTATGTAACCCAAATCGGAATCTAAATATATTTTTTTTCTAGTTCCTCAAATGAACAAACACCAATACAACTTCGTTCTGTAAGTTTGAATCAATCATATTTTTCTTTAATTCATTTTTTTTATTCATAAGGTTCGATCACAAAGTGTTGATTGTTCATCAACATTAAACACTGGTGATGAAGCAGCTGAAGGTAATGAAGCATTGTCATATAATATATCTAGACAATATTTATTCTTTTTAAATAGATAATGATGATGTCATGTCAACTTGTTCAGAACCACCATCAACAAAAAAACGAAAAGTATAATAATATTCTAATAATTAATTTTCTAAGTTTATTATTTTTTTAAAGCGTCGTGGAAATGATTTATCTACAGTTAGATTACCAGCTGTTGATGAAGAAGGAGATAATGTTGCTGGAACAAATTTTCAAGGTAGAAAAAAAGACGTTTTTTTTTTCTTTTATGCCATATTATTTCTATTTTCATAGGAAATTCAGCAATAACTCCAACATATAATTTACGTTCAAGAACGAAACGAATGCCAAAACGTAAGAATTTACTTTCGAATAAAAAATTTTTTTTCTAATATTTTAATAATTCTTATTTCAGAAGAAGATTAAGTTCGTATAAAATTTGCTAGTGCTTATTAATTCTATTAATTGAATAGTTAATTATAATATATATATATATTATTTTTTTCTTCTTTATTTAGTTCAACCAAATCAAACAACATAAATTATGATTAAAATGTTTTGCTGTTTTATTTTCAAAACTTTATTCTGTCGCTCTTCTCATCTGTTTCTTTGATTCTAATTTGTGCATGCATGATTACAAAAACGAAAACAAGAAGAAACAAAATAGATTAATATGAAACTGTGTATATTTGTTGTAAAGAGCGTATTATGTTTCTTTTTTTCTCATTGTGTTATGATTTATAAAAGAAAAATAAAAAAAAAAAAAGAGAGAGAATTATTAATATAAAGTCCTAAAAACTTGGATCACCAAAACCAACTTGACGTTGTACTGCATTGATTTCATCAAGTAATGGACCAGCTGGAAGATCGAGCTAAAACAGAACATGACAAATTCATAATCCCAATATCATTGTAATTAAGACTCTCTTTCAAAAATCGATCTGAGGCTAGGAACATTCAAATCACATGAGATTTTTAACCCCTTATTGGGATGTTTCAGGAAGATATTCAATAAACTAGAGTCAAAAATAGCTTATTTGGCGACTCTAAATTCTTGATAAACCTTGATTATTTGTTTGTTTAAAAAAGCATGTCAAGATGCAGTGCATGACAGAGCGCTATGTTTTTTTAAATTCGTACTTTTTAAGCGGCAAAAAAAGGTTCAATGTGTCAGAAGAAAAAAGACGGCACTCTAATTATAAGAGTATTCTTTTATATAATAGTAACAAAGCTTAATTCAAAAAAGGAAGTCTGTTATGTTATACATCTTGATATGCTCTTGCAAATAAAACAAAAGCATAAACAGAGAAAAAACGAAAAAGATTTTTCGTATTCTTTGAAAACAGACTATTTTTCTAGCAGTGGATGACAGCAATGTTCAAAAGTTTTTAAAAAGAACTCAATCGTTTATGAAAGACCAAACTATGTGCCATCATTCCATTTATTTATCTTAATTTCGATCATTCGAATGAAAAGTGACTTTTATGGGGAGTCAATATTCCATCAGTATCGAATTTCTAAAGAATGATGAAAGGAAAAGTCATAGAAAAAAATGCGTTTTTCTCAACGATTGATACTATTGATAAATTTGCCAAACTTAAGTGGAATCATACGTCAAAAAGAATAAAAAAAAACCATTTATGCCCATTATTAGAAGTTTTCATTTTAATTTATAAAATGTATTCATTGACCATTCTACAGTGGATTTATTTTCCCAAAGCGATTCTATTATTATTGTATTTTAGTTCTATTGTTTTCTTATATTTAATAGTGATCCAAAGTTGTTGAGATTTTGAACTTCAATGAATTTTCTTACTATTAAATGAATCGGAACTTGTAACTGTATTTGACAACATTAAAATGATTTGTTATGTGATAAGACTCGTCATTGTATACTCGTTTTTAACAGTAGAAGTTTTTTGTATAATTACTTCATCAAGAAAATCTTAAACAAATGCTAGATTTCTCATAAAAAACTAAACTATTAAATTTATATATTTAATTAGAAATATACATATGTTTCAATGTTTGCAATGAAAAATTATTGATAAATTATTATTATTATTTTATAAAAGTTATTATTTAATTAATGAATTGTATTTTTTTTATAGGAATATAAATTCTTACCTTAATCGCATATTTATAACTTTGTTCAGCTTCAATATATCGTTTTGTTTGTAAACAAATAAGAGTTAAATAACCCCAAACCTCTGTAAATCAAAATAATAGTTCTTAATGTCTTAGTTAATAATTAATATCTTACCTGCATTTTGATTATTAAGAAAATTTGCTTCTGTAAGTGCTTCTTCTGCATCATCATATTGATTCATCTAAAAACAAAAATAATTTAATATTTTCTAATAATAAATATAAACTTTTATTATACTCGATAGCAAGCAACACCAAGACCTAAATATGTTGTACATGTTGGTTGATAACGACATGCACGTAAAAAGATTTCTTTTGCTTCCGAATACTAATAGAACAAATTCAAAATAATCTTAAAAGATAAAACAAGAACTCAACATACACTTGTTTCATTTCCTTCCGATAAAAGAATCGCGCCAAGTCGAATATACACTGTATGAAGATCTGGTGGTTTTTCTGAAAAAACTAATGTACGTTGATATCGACCTGAAAAATTATCAAACAAAAAAAACAAATGTGCATAAATTTTTATGTATTTTATTTTTCACAAAATAAAACCTTTTGCAGCTTCAAAATCTAATTGTAAATATTTTACATGTCCCCAAAGTGCCCATGCTTCAACATTTTCATAATCAATTGATAAAGCTTGTGTAATATGTGTTTCAGCTGATGCAAAATCTTGTTGAAGAATTTTTGCTTTCGCTAATGCTATTTCCACTTGATGATCTTTACCACTATTAGCAAGATATTCATAAGCTAATGCTTTTTCTGCCCACTAGATATATACAAAAAAAAACAGACGTTCAATCAAAATAATAGGAAAGGATAACCAACAATTTTTAACTACAGAATAAGATATATGTAGATTTCAAAAGAAAAGCTTTGTCTGTATTATCAGATTCTACTAGGTATTGGTCATCTATCAATAGGTGGACTCCACCTTCTGCCATAGCCACGGCGCGAAGACGCTACTTACCGCCAAGGCAATGGTAAGCGTTAGGGATTGATCATGTTCACAATACAGAGATCTGCGCGTCAGCCTCGCGTCCTGTGCAAGGTTGCTTATCATTGTATCAACGTGTTCTAAAGTGCGAGGTTGACTCGTATATATCTGATATGTTTCAAGATATAAAGGAAGTCTTCCTTTAAAAAACTATATGTATTCTTTTCTGTAGTCAAAAATTATCGAAAAATTTATAGACGCTGTTCATACCGTAGCAAGATTGTATTTGAGTAAAAATTCAGCTGATTTGAGATAAATACTTTTTTTACTTGCTACTTTTTCAATTTCCATTGAACTTGAAATATCTTGAGATTTTCGAGCTGTTACTTGTTCGTTAATAGTTGATTTGGATTTTTCTAAGGAATTTCGAAATTTTTTAATGTGCTTATTTAATTTATTTATATTAGTTTACCTTGTTTTTGTTTACTTGATCGACTACTACGACTAAGACGACTTTTTGATGCAACATTTAATTGAGAATCTGAACTTTTTGTTATTTCTTCTAAAATAAATAAATATATATAGATAGATAGATAATTATTATATACATCATTAAAAAAAAACGAATTTAACCTTTTTCTTCGCCAACAGGACGATCTTTTTCTTCTTCTTCACGTTTTTCATCACTTACTGGTGATGTTACTGTTATATTGGTGGCTGCTGCTGCTTGGTCTTCTTCATTTTTTAAAATAGCTCGTTGAAGTTTTTCAGCTTTTCCTAATGTTATTTGAGCATTTTTTTCATTACCAATATGTTTTTGAAAAATAGCTAATTAAAAACAATAAAGATAAATTCAATTTAATAAAACTTCATCAATACCATAAAGTGTCCATGCAATAACATTTTCACTATCTTCTGTTGTAGCAGTTTCAAAAAATAAATCAGCAACTTCGTTATTTTCCAAAATGGCATTAAGAACAGCATATAAGATTGCTCTATAGACAAAAAGCTCATTGATATATTATTAAATATAGAACATATTAATCATATGGATCTTTTGAATTAAAAACACAAAAAGAGTTATTAACACAAACCGTGTGGGATTAAAACATAAAACACGATGTATCTGTTTTTGTTAATCACAAGGAGATTATTCTATATGTTTTAGAGCAAATTTCTTCATTATCTTTTTACTTAATCCATAGGGCCTGGAATAAAGAATTAGTTCATTTATACCAGTAAGACGTCACTGATACAAGGCCTCTAATTGTATATCAACAAGGTCTGTCATGATCTTTGGAACGGTGGGTAAGTGTAACTCTATACCCATTATACTTCAACACTGCTTTTAGTTCGTGTTTCACAAAAGGTGATGTTTAATCTTCTGTCATTTAATAGAAAACTCGCAGTTTATAGTTTTTCAAAGCGAATAAATTCCGAAGAAAAAAAACCTTTTAATCAAACTTTTATATGATTAACTTTTGCTAAAAAAGTTTTCGATTTAACTTCGATAGAACTGAAACATAATGAAAGGATTTCAATTATGAACAATAATCTGTACAACATCTCTAATGTTTCTATCCTAACTGTGGTAGACACATGTATAGGTCACTATCCGTAAGATAAACGAGTTTCACTAATTTCGATGCCTATTAACACATAACACTATTTAGAACTCTGTTTTTCTAGAGTTTTAATATTCATTGGACTAACTTAATACAAAATAATTTATTGTAGTTAGAAGTCAATAAGTTCAGTTCTAATTCAAATCTGAGAAACTGTTGAAAATAGTTTTCTGATCTGATCTTTCAACTGAACATTAGTCGACCGATAATTGTAACGTCTCGTTCAATTTGAACTGCATGATTTTTTTTCTTATTCTAAAAAACTCTTAACATTATCTTACACAGTACTATTCGTTTGTTCAATTGCAAGACATTCTTTGAGACATTCTTCAGCTTTAATTAAATCATTGACAAGTAAATGAAAAGCAGAAAAATCAAGCCATGGACGAAGTTTATCAGAATTTTGTGCAAGACGCTAAAAGAGAAAAACAAAACCGACGATGTTATCTTTCAATTCTTCTTTTTTCTTTAATAATATTAATTTACTTGTTTATAATAATGAGCTGCTAATAGATAATCACCATTACTTTCAGCTTCAAGTGCAAATATACGTAATTGTGCATCAGTATTTCTTGATGGTGGTACTGGTTCAGGTTCTTCAATATTTAATGATTTATTTAATGAACGATGCATTTCATCAAGAAGAAATACATATAATTGACTAATAAATGTCTAAAATGAATCGAAAAAAAAAATACTTGATTTAATAACAAAAAGAAAATTGTTTTTTTTTTGTACTTGAAGTTCATCAGGATTATCAAATTTACTTGTACGAAGAAATTTTTCTCGAACAATTTTTATCACACTATGCTTAAGTTGTTCTTT